GACTGTCCGGAAGCTTCAACTGGTCCAACGGGTGGCAGCCAGGTTGCTAACAGGAGCGGCTCATAGGGAGCAGCTCCACTGGCTGCACCATCTCCACTGGCTGCCTGTTTGCTACCGGGCACAATTCAAAGGGCTGGCTTTGGCCTATAATGCCCTAAATGGTTCTGACCCAACTTAACTGTCTGAATGCATCTCCCCTTATGAACCATCGAGGACTTTAAGATCGTCTAGGGAGGCCCTGCTCTCGGTCCTGCCTTTGTCTGGTGGGGATGAGAGAAAGGGCCTTCTCAGTGGTGGCCCCTTGGCTATGGAATGCCCTCCCTAGGAAGATCAGATCGGCTTCTTCACTCCTAACATTTCAGAAAAAACTCAAGACATGGCTATTTGAGCAAGCATTTGCAAATATTGAGTAACGTACATAGGAAATGGAACAACTACACGATAGGATTGGACAATGTTTTAATAAGAATTTATTGAATTATGTTTTTATTGCTGTTGTTATGATTTTATTGATGTTAACATTTTTATATTGTACTTGTGTTTTTGTGGCATTGAATTTTGTCTGTAAACCACCTCGAGTTGCTGGAAGGCTGAGAGGGGTGTTATACAAATATAGTAAATAAATAAATAAATAAATATGCAAACAAACAATGTGCTGGATATGCAGACAGCATATGACACTCAGATCCTGGAAACATGACTTTTTTTTTTTATCAAACAAGGATTTTCATAATTTCTCAACCAGCACAGCTACTGGCCATGTTGGCTGTTGGATTCTTGCATTAAAAATAAAAGGGTTGGTTTGACTAAACTAGGATGCCACTACATACCATACAAGATGTATTGGATGCAAACACGTCAGCCTAAATAAATAAGAATTCAAATGGATCATTGTGCCAGACACAATTGTGCTGCACACATGCCAGTACCAACAGAGAAGACAGAAAGAAAACAAAGTTGTGGGAATAAGTTAAACCTCCAAGCAGTACTTTTCAGCTCAGATCAGTTGTCAAAATGCCCTGTCGGCCTTTCTCACTAGATTTGAATACCTAGCTCCACTTGTCAAATATGCGGACGGACTTGCTAAGATAGTACTAAGTAAAATAGAGGACCAAAATTAGTGCTGTTTCTTTAGGGAGGCACTCCTTACTTTGGAAACTCTGATCCTGATTGTTTTCTTCAAGGTTTGCAGAAGTTTCTTTGAGGTCTGCAGAGTCTTGCAAATCTCATCAGAAGGGTTTTAAACTGTGTTACATGGAGGAGAGAAGTAGTATTTCAGAGGGCACTGTGGCACCAGATATTGAGAACAGTATGTTCAATGATACGAGGGAATTAGATCAATAGTAAAAGAACATGAGTGTGGGCAGGGAAAAAAAAGGAATCACTGGGGAGGATATCTCTGCAATAATGCACAGAGTAAGATAAGCCTGAACTCTTAACAGAAGATGATTCAATAGATGTGCCTCATGATTGAAATGTAACAACTGAAGACATAACTATTTCAAAGAAATAGACCAAACAGGAAAGTAGATGAGCATTATATGTTAAAGATGTGTATAAAGCCATGTGAGATACATAATTTAGAATATGGAGAACATATTGAAATCATTTGAGTAAAAATTAAAGAGTAGAAAAACAATAGTGGCCTCACTGGGGCCATATAGGTGTAATGGGTTAAATCCTTATGCTGCTGAACTACTGACCTAAAGGTTGGCAGTTCAAATCTGCAGGATGGGGTGAGCTCCCGCTGTTAGCCATAGCTCCTCCCAACCTAGCACTTTGAAAACATGCAAATGTGAGTAGATAAATAAGTACCGCTTCAGTGGGGAAAGGCAAAAAAGCACTCCAAGCAGTCTTGCCAACCACATGGCAATGCAGGCTCCTCAGCTTGAAAATGGAGAAGAACACCTTCCCCAGAGTCAGAGATGAGTACTGGAAATGAAAGGAGAAACCTTTGGCTTGTCTGTGTTTGTCTGCACTGAGTGTTTGCCTATGTCTGCTGTAAATGCTGTAATCTGCTCTGAGTCCCCTAGAGGAGAAGGGCAGAAAATAAATAAAGTGTATTATTATTATTATTATTATTATTATTATTATTATTAGGATGCATTATAGGTACTCCACACACACTAGAGCTTTGAATGATGCCTTCCTAAACAAAATTAATGATTACCATATTCATAAAGGAGTGATATAGTAGCAATGGCAAATTTCAGCCATTTTGATATCTGTTAGAAGTTACACTCTGCCAACAATGTAAGAGCCAATAAATTTCTTACTAACCTTGTGAGCCAATACAGGTTAAAGTCAAGATATCACCTTGAGGACAGGACATAGGCTGAAATCATGCTCACAATGAATGTTGAAAAGTTGATCAATTTCAAGAGAGTGGCTTGAAATGTGATTGGAAGAGAAGGGTCTGACCTTTCCCCAATTCTAAGTGTCGTGATAATCATATTTCAATTTAAAACCAAACTGGTGGAGACGGTTGTGTATTTTTGCATTTACTTAGTCACATTTAGTTTCACAAGTTTATTTTAGTGTACCCCATAATGGTAATACTTACATGGGGTTTTTTTTATAAGGAGTATACGTGTGTGCATGTGTCTTTAAGTCACCCCAGTCAACATATCTTGACTCCATGAATTTTACAGAGTTATTTTTAAAGGCAATGAATACTCACAGATGGTTTTGCCAGTTCCATTCTCTGAAATAGTAGTTTGTGATAGCCTAAGGTTCCAAGTAATGATTGGAGTGAGCTTGCTAACCTTGGAGTTTACCAAGCTTACTCCAGATCAAATAAAATATTGTGCCCTTTTCAGATATGTACATTATCTCAATAAAATTGGAAATGGATTGGAAGCACCCAACAACAACAACAACAACAACAAAGTATTACTTATAGTATCTGAGTGATGTACCTCTGAAAGAACTTAATTCGTTTCTTCCTATTCTCATGCACTAAATCAGGCATGGACAAAGTGGAATCCTCTGTACATTGTTAGATTGCAATTGCTAAAATTCTTCACCATTAATAATGTTGTGTGTTGAAGGCGTGCATCAAATTCTAGGGGTTTATTTGAAATGTACAATATATTAAAATCAGAATATAAGCCATCAAATATGCACGCTGCTTCGTTGACAAGATTTACAATCCACAGACGGAGACCCGAACATATCTGCAGCATGTTTTACAATCCTGGTAAAGAACAATGATTTGCTGAAGTTCATCCATTCAGCTGCAACACACAGTATTTTGAAAATTCAATTATCTTAATGTTACCCAAGCAGCAGCAATAACACTTGTGTGTGAGTATTAGTGTGTAGTGTATGTACCTTCAAGTTGTCTGCTCTCTTATGGCAACCTCATGCATTTCATAAAGTTTCCTATTTGATTTTGCCAATTCCTTCCTCTGAAACATAACATTTTGCAGTTTTCATTGGCAATCTCCCATCCAATTACTAACCAAGGGCTGGCCCTCTTTAACTTCCAAGATTAGATGGATCCGGTGTCTGTAGGGGCCTACTAATATATTGAAGTCCTCTTCAGAACTCCCTGAACCTCTGAATATGTGGCCAATATTCAGTGCTCACTTCCAAAACAAAAATTCCAGAACCTTGGACAGCTCTGGAGTCCGGCATTGGGAGACTTCCTTGCTTTTGGCTTCCCGGTGGATTAATTTCAGTAAACTGTTGGGTGATTTTAAGGCACACACACACACAGAGTGACAGCTCCAGCTAAACCAGTGGTTCACAATCTTCTTTTTGACCAGGATCCACTTGACCAGAGACCACTTTGACCAGGGACCCCTCTCCAACATTAGTACCAAAGGGGTTACGAATCAGTTTTTGGTCAACTTTAGATTTGGTTTGGTTATTTGGGGTCCTGATTCAGAAAACTGCATTGGATAGACCACATCAGTTCTAGTTTCCAATGCAGGACATATGCCATCCAGTAGTCGCCATCTGCTCACGCACAGAAACCATATTTAATAAGCCTCAGCACTATAAGAGAGTTTCGTGAGATCAGTCACTCTCATTGCAACAGTGCAGTAATGGTGAGCCTGTGGACCATATTTTAGTTCTTGTGGCCCACTGATGGTCCATGGACCACAGGTTGGGAACCACCAAGCTAGACTAATGACACCTTCCATGTTTCTTCTCCTGCCTTCCTTCCTTCCCTTCCTCTCTCCCTTACCTATACAAAGAGGCATTTGTACAGATCTCTAAATCTATGTTTTCCTTCTGACAAAAACAAGCATGTTTCCATCCCCTGCTGCCATCACTTGATGTGACTTATTTTTCCCCATGTCCCTATCTCAAATACTAATTTGGGGTCATTTTGGGCCCTGACTTCATCACACTAGAGAATGAATCCACTTTAAATCCAGTTTCTGCCTCCTACAGCATTTTGGGATTTGTAGTTTAGTAAGGCCGTTAAGAGGTTCCTCCCTGAACTTTAAAGTGGATTCATTCTCTAGTGTAATGAGTAGGAAAGCCTATATGTAAAAACACAACCTGGAGTCATTTTTGCTTCATTGCCTTTCTCAGCCTTTGGTCCTCCAGGTCAAGTGAGTTGGAACTCATCTCCCAGAACGCATGGCAGTTAACCAAGATGGCTGGGGATTTTGGTAGTTGAGGTCCAAGTCCTAAACACCCGGAGGACCAAAGCTTGGGAACGACTGCCTTAGAGCCACACTTATATCTTGTAGATCTCTCTCTCTCTCTTTCATTTGTTTCAGGTTGTCTGCCTGTCCTCTAACTCCCAGATGTGTGGATGCGTTTAGTGAGTGAGTGAGAGAAGGAGGGAGGGAAGAGAGAGAGAGAGAGAGAGAGAAGGAGGGAGAGAGATGGGTGTTTATAATATCACCCCCTGGCTCTATACAGGCACTTCAATTGCCTCCATTTCCAGCGTCCCATCAGCACAAACACACACACACACACACAAAACATACAGGGCCATGGACTGCATCCCAGGCTCTCGTTTGCCCTTGGCTTCTCACCTCCTCTCCAGCAGCATCAGGAGCTGCAGTTCCTTCTTGTTCTTCATCTTCTTCTGCTTCTGCTTCTGTGGGATTGGCATCGCTCTCAGCGGCGGGGTCGGGTCCCCCTTCCGAAGCCATCCCTGGCCATCCCAGACCCGGCAGCCCACGCCTTGGGGTCAAAGAAGCAGCCCAAGGGACCCGAGGAAGTTCCTCCACCTCCGAGAGGGACGTGGGGCAAGCATCTCCTTGACTCTTCCTCGGGACTGCAGCTCGGGGTCCTTGGCGGTGCTGGGATCCACCCAGAGGACGCGCTGGGCTTCTCCAGTTGCGGTGCAATCCGCAAACAATCCGGATCGAGCCCCCAAAAGCCAGATGCGGTCCCCTTGGGGCTGGGAAGGGGATCCTCCGCCTGTTTGGGAAATACTGCAGGAGGGGGGATCTAAAGGAGGGGCGCCGGGAGGGAGGCGATTCGGGGAGACCCTGGAGAGGGGTGGGCTTCTCCGGGGCCGCTTTGGCCAACGCTCGGACCCCTTTCTCCCGCCGCCTCTTCAACACCCGGCCGCCGCCGCCGCCGCCGCCTCTGTCAACAAAAGCCGCTGCCTCCGCGCCGTTGCAGTCCCCAACTCTCTGCAGTGGAATTAGTTAGCTGCCAACTTCGCGCTTCCCTTCCCTGCCTTCTTCCTATTTTTTTTCCTCTTGGAAGGAAGAGAGGACAGATCTACTTGGTTGTGTGCGTGGCTCTCTCCTGCTGCGGCTTCTTCTTGGGAACATGAGCAGGTTATTCGAGGGTATGTCCTGTGCCAGCCCTGCTCTGGCAGAGAGAAACCCAGAGGCTCTTCCCAGGGCCCTCCTAGGAATCCTCTTGCTTCAGAAGACACACCAGATCCCAGAAATCCCGGAGGTTTTTTTTTTTCGTGAGTCCTTGCATGTAGGAAAACTCCTGCTCTTGCTCTGCTCTGTCCAGGGACTCACTTGCTCTCCAAGATGATTTTGTTGTTGTTGGGAGCCTTCAAGTCCTTGGCGACATTTTTTTGACATTAGAAATTAGGCGATCTCTCGTTGTCCCAGTAGGATAGTCTTCCAGGATCAGTGTCCTGGCGGTGGGTCTGTAGGTGACTGTGGAGCCCTATTCTTGACCTGCATGTTCTCCCGCAGTGAGGGCATTGGTTTCCAGGTGGAAGGTGGTCCCGGCCGTTTCTCTCTTTTCCCTCCATTAGTGCCTCTTCAAATTCTACAGCACTGCTGGTCACAGCTGACCTCCAGCTGGAGCGCTCAAGGGCCAGGGCTTCCCAGTTCTCGGTGTTTATGCCAGAGTTTTTAAGGTTGGCTTTGAGCCCATCTTTTCCTGCCCACCAACATTCCATTTTCCATTCTTGAGTTCAAAGTAGAGCAATTGTTTTGGGAGATAGTGGTCAGGCATCCAGACAATGTGGCCAGTCCAGCAGAGTTGATGGTGGAGGACCATCACTTCAATGCTGTTGGTATTTGCTTCTTCCAGCACGCTGACATTTGTCTACTTGTCTACCCAAGAGATTTGCAGGATTTTCTGGAGGCAGCGTTGATGGACTCATTCCAGGTGTTGCATGTGATGTTTGTACACAGTCCATGTTTCACAGGCATATAGCAAGGTTGGGTGGACAATTTATTTATTTATTTATTTATTTACTGTATTTGTATACCGCCTTTCTCAGCCAATCGGCGACTCAAGGCGGTTTCCAACAAATCAGTACATATAAAAGCATAATACAGATTAAAACATTAAACAATATAAAACACCACAAAAGCAATAAAAACATCATTAGTGTCTCATTATTATCAAGCATAGTCCAGTTCCATTGTCAAATTGTTCGACAATAGCTTTATAAACAGGCACCTTGGTATCTCTACGGATGTCCCTTGCCACCCGGAGCCCTTGAAACCTGCTCCTTTACCATTGACAAACTAGGGTCACGGGGGTGGCCTTGGGGAGTCAAACTGGAGGAGCGTTGGCGAAGGAAGAGCTGAAGGAGGTTTGGAGAAGAAGGGAGGTAGAGCGACTGGGTGGCTGCCATTACTGGCTGTATTGCAATAACTACAACAACTTGCAACTTGCAACAACTTCAACAACTCCAACAACTAGCCATCCACCCCCATCCTGTTTTCCTTTTGCCGGGTCTCCGACCAGCGACACCCCGAGACCCCGTAGGGGGCCGTGGGGGCTGACTGGAGAGAGATATCCAGGGAAATAGAAGGAAGCGGGGAGAAGAGGAGGTAGAGCGGAGGCCATTATTACTACCACACCGGCCTGAACTCGGCCTGAACTTAGCTGAGCTCGCTCCCTCCCAATTTGCCTGAAAGGACCTGACCATCTGGAGCCCAGCGGTCCCCCTCAAGACTTTTTTATCCGGCTGTTTCCATCCTAGGACTACTAGGCCATTGTTGGGTGGCAGGAATCTTTACATAACTGCTGCTACGAGACTTACCATCGGCTGCCATTATTTACTACTATTATATGAGATTTACCATCGGCTGCCATTTTTGTATTGTTTTGTCATCGCTCATGCTATCGCCTCTAAGTCTGGAAGAAACACCAACTAAGTCAGTATTAGACTCTGTATCTATCGTCGATCCGGTTGTGCTGACCTTCGTGATTGTGTGAACCATCTCTTGTTGTGCTAACCATCCGTGTGTGTTGATCTTCTCTGATTTTGTTAACCATCATTGATTGTGCTGACCATACCCTCAGTGTGGCTGATGCGAAACATCAATTGTTTGCTCTATTGCGAAACACTAATTGTTTGTTCTATTAATAAGTGAAGTGTATAACTATCTGGTGTGTTTTAGCACTTTAGCACTTTACCTTGACCAGCACTTCAATTTTACTATCTTTGTGGCAATTAGATCGCTATCCACTGAGTTCAGCACTTTAATTGTTCAACTAACCATCTAGCATTGAACTTTTCAAGTCCTCCATGATGCACTTTATTTAGCACCTTAGAGCTGATTGCTAAAGCTGTTGCACTTTAAAGCTGATTCAATAGCTATCACCTATGTCACGACCCATTCCCTGGCACCTGTTGTTCTTGTTGCTAATTGTTTATGATAGAGAGAAGGAATGGAGCAGACCTGAAAGACCAGACTATAACATTACAGGAGTGGCAAATGAGCTATGGACTGATGCTAGGGCCACCGTATGCATCATGGAGGAGGGAGAGGGTTCCGTTAACCGGGGAGCCCCCATAGAAGTCGTGGTGGGGAAGGGGAGATACGGGAAAAGAGACCTTTAATTCGGCCTAGGGAACGTGGAACAACATTAGTAATTCCAAATCGGTCTCCTGATATGGTAAGTCGGTGTAACCAAGATGGCGGTCCCTCTGAATTGAAAGTGGTGCTGTTGAACGCCAGATCTGTCAACGGTAAAACAACTTTCATCCAGGATCTAATCCAGGATGAACGGGCAGATCTGGCGTGCATCACAGAGACCTGGTTGGACGAAGTGGGAGGTGTAAATTTAACCCAGCTTTGCCCACCAGGTTTCTCTGTGCAGCACCAGCCGAGATCCGGAGGGCGGGGAGGCGGAGTTGCAGTGGTCTATAGAGATTCCATTCTTCTGACCAGGGCCCCCATCCCGCAGTCCACAAATTTTGAATGCGTCCACCTGAGGGTGGGTGACCGGGACAGATTAGGGATTCTGTTAGTGTACCGTCCACCTCGCTGCACTACAGACTCCCTGACTGAGCTAGCGGGGGTGGTCTCGGACCTGGCATTGGAGTCCCAACGGCTGCTTGTGCTGGGGGACTTCAATGTCCACGCCGAGACCGCCTTATCGGGAGCGGCTCAGGACTTCATGTCTACCATGGCAACCATGGGGCTGTCCCAGCAGGTATCTGGCCCCACCCACAGTGCTGGACATACATTGGATTTGGTTTTCTGCCAGGGATGGGAGGAAGGTGGCGGTGTTGAGGAGTTATCCATCTCTCCGTTGCCATGGACCGACCACCACCTGGTCAGCTTTAGACTCACTGCACCCCCTAACCTCCGCAGAGGTGGAGGACCCATTAAGTTGGTCCGCCCCAGGAGGCTTATGGATCCAGATGGATTCCTGATGGCTCTTGGGGAATTTCCCGCCACCTCGGTTGGTGATCCTGTTGATGCTCTGGTCGCTCTCTGGAATGGGGAGATGACTAGGGCAATAGACACGATCGCTCCAGAACGTCCCCTCTCAAGTAGCCGAGCTAAACCAGCTCCTTGGTTCACCGAGGAGCTGGCATGATGAAGCGAAGGAAGAGGGAACTAGAGAGCGTGTGGCGTTCGGATCCGAGCGAGTCAAATCGAACACGGTTTGTGTCCTTTCTAAGGGCATATGCCGCGGCAATAAAAGCCGCAAAGAAAACCTACTTTGCAGCCACTATTGCGTCTGCAAAGAACCCTCCGGCTGAACTGTTCCGAGTTGTCAGAGGCCTATTAAAACCCACCACTCAGGATGGGTGCCCTGATGACTCGGCAGCTCGCTGCGAAGCTTTTGCTCGGTTCTTCGCAGACAAAGTCGCTTTGATCCGCTCTGGACTGGACACCATATTAACGGCAGTATCTGAGGATGTAACACGAGCAGCTGCTTGTCCGGTTTTGATGGATTCATTTCAATTGGTTCAATCCGAGGATGTGGACAAGGTGCTTGGAGGAATGAGAGCTACCACATGCATCCTAGACCCCTGCCCATCCTGGCTTCTAAAGGAGGCCAGAGGGGGATTGGCCGAGTGGGTGAAGGTGGTGGTTAATGCCTCCCTTCGGGAAGGCAAAATTCCAGCCAGCTTAAAGCAAGCTGTGATAAAACCGCTGTTGAAAACCATCACTGGACCCCACTCAATTCGTCAACTATCGGCCTGTTTCCAATCTCCCCCTTTTTGGGCAAAGTCCTGGAACGTGTGGTGGCCTCACAACTCCAGGTATTCTTGGAAGACACGTGGATTATCTGGACCCGGCACAGTCTGGCTTTAGGCCGGGACATGGTACCGAGACAGCCTTGGTCGCCTTAGTGGATGATCTGCGTCGGTGAGCTCGACAGGGGGAGTGTGTCCCTGTTGGTTCTGCTGGACCTCTCAGCGGCTTTCGATACCGTCGACCACGGTATCCTTCTGGGTCGCCTCGTGGGAATGGGCTTGGGGGGCACTGTTTTACAGTGGCTCAGGTCCTTCCTAGAGGTCATTCCCAGAAGGTGTTGTTGGGAGACACCTGCTCGACCCCACAACCATTGTCTTGTGGGGTTCCGCAGGGTTCAATACTGTCTCCCATGTTGTTTAACATCTACATGAAGCCGCTGGGCGAGATCATCCGGAGTTTCGGAGTGCGATGTCATCTGTACGCAGATGATGTCCAACTCTGTCACTCCTTTCCACCTGCTACTGAGGAGGCTGTCGAGGTCCTGAACCGGTGCTTGGCCGCTGTGACGGTCTGGATGGGGGCGAACAAATTGAAATTGAATCCAGACAAGACAGAGGTACTCCTGGTTAGTCGTAAGGCCGAACAGGGTATAGGGTTACAGCCTGTGTTGGATGGGGTCGCACTCCCCCTGAAGACACAGGTTCGCAGTCTGGGTGTGATCCTGGACTCATCGCTGAGCCTGGAACCCCAGGTTTCGGCGGTGACCAGGGGAGCATTCGCACAATTAAAACTTGTGCGCCAACTGCGACCGTACCTTGGGAAGTCCGACTTAGCCACGGTAGTCCACGCTCTGGTTACATCCCGCCTTGATTACTGCAACGCTCTCTACGTGGGGTTGCCTTTGAAGACAGTCCGGAAGCTCCAACTAGTCCAACGGGCGGCAGCCATGGTACTAACAGGAGCGGGGCGCAGGGAGCACACAACTCCTCTGCTGCACCAGCTCCACTGGCTGCCGATATGCTACCGGGCTCAATTCAAAGTGCTGGTTTTGGCCTTTAAAGCCCTAAACGGTTCTGGCCCAACTTATCTATCCGAACGTATCTCAGCCTATCAGCCCACCAGGACCCTAAGATCTTCTGGAGAGTCCCTGCTCTCTATCCCACCGGCTTCCAAGTGCGGCTGGTGGGAACGAGAGACAGGGCCTTTTCTGTGGTGGCCCCTCGGCTTTGGAACACCCTCCCTATAGAGATACGATCAGCCTCTTCGCTGATGGTCTTTCGGAAGAGATTAAAAACATGGTTGTGTAAACAAGCATTCAATTAGTTTGT